AACAAACACTCTGTCTGAGAAAATTACTCTGTCAAACAGATGTTCTCAGCAGAAAACTGTTGACACCACATGCAGATTGAAAAATGTGTAAGCCTCTATCTCTAGTTTGGCAGATTCAATCCAGATTGTGTAATTCAACCTTGCTAAGAATGAAAGTTACATTTCCATGAACTTTCTTTCCTTTAGATTTCTGGGATAGAATAGATCAAGGAGACTCAATTAGTTGAGTCAAAAAATTATTTGTATTTCTGTACTTCAATTTTCATACTAATTGAATCTAGGAGATTCTTATTCTATTTTTGTCTGGGCTCAGGTTTTTCTGCCTTTAAAATATTCTAGTGTTACTTGTTTAACTCAGTTGACTATCCTGATCTTGAATTTATTATTAATAAGGGGACAATTTCCCACATTCTTGCAAGGTGTCCCTGTATGATTGAGGCCCCAGGACACAGGTCTCATTGAATCAAGTAGATTCACTTAAATCAAGGAGATTCAATGAGTAAGATTGTTGCAGCATAGAAATAAATGTCACCCTTATTCATAGAAGATTGTAGACCAACCCAGTGAAACACAGAGACAGATACGTAAGTGTTAGTAGATGAAAGATTTCCCTTCTTCACACTATCCAAAGGTTGGCTAATATTGGTCAATGGTGGACTTTGCACCCACACAGGGGTTCCACTCAGCATCTTGAGTTTTCCCATCAGCAAATGCCAGGAACTTCTTCAATATACCTCTTTAAGGGCTTCTGGATGGCCAGACACCCTCTGTTCACTCATGTCCTATCACTCCAGGCATTCCCCAGAGTCCAGCACCAACCACGGTTGCCTTTACAAGCGGAACTTTTTCCTTCTTTATGTTTTGATAACTTTCTTCATAAAAGCACCTCATTCCATAAATCTTTAGATTGCTCATTTGTATTGAGGAGGATTTTTAAAAAAAAATATGTAGGAGTACTGCTATTTATGCAGCCATTGATTAAGTGATTGAATTGGGCATGAACTTCACATAACTTTTTTAAAATTTTTATAACCATGAGATACAGTTACAAAGCTTTCATGTTCAAGATTCAGCTAGACAATGATAGAATATCCATCCCTCCACTAGTGCACACTTTCCACCATCATGTCCCCAGAATATCCACTCCACCCATCCCAGTCTTCACCCAGCCTCCGTGACAGGTAATTTCCCCAGTATTCTTTCTCTCTCTACGTTTGGGCATTATGTTTTGCTCTAATTTTCCCACCACCATTCAAGACTGTCTGCCAGGGACAGATGCTAGATCATTTATTGTTTATTTTTAATATCTTGGGTGCTGCAGCTGCGTGCTTCTGGAGTCCTAGATTGTTAACAGTCGAGTTCCAGAGACATTTCTGTAGGGCGCTAATCCATTTTGGGATTCAATTGGGCATCTCTGGACCAGGGCTGTTGGTGAACTAAGATGGCGCCTGGAGGCACACTGTGGGGGTGACAACCAGGGTCATGAGCAGACGGAGAGCTGGGCAGGCACAGCCAGGCACTTCTGCCACCATGCAGCATGGAGATTTAGTCCTGGAACGTGAATACTTGGGCCTTGCTTGTGGAAACTCTTGGTCGCAGGGATACCATGTAGAGTAGGTGGAGAGATTGCACCTGCTCCATCTGGGGTGCCCCTGTGAAATTTCTCGGCATGGGGCCCATAGAGATCTCTGGCACTGTGGTGTCTTCCAGGACTCGCTGCTGTATCTCTGACTTTTGATCTCTTTTGATATTTATTTATGGGTCTCTGAAGAAAGACTAGTGATAGAGTTGACAGGGTAGCTCTGGAGTTGGTTTGTGGGGGTGACTGCCAGTGCTTCCATGTATATTGGGAAGTGGGGGGAGGTAGCCCAACCCAACCCCAGGAAAGCCTGGAGATTTCAGTCACAAAACCTGAATACCTGAAGTTTTAGCAGATTATATCTTGGTGAGGTCCTTCCTGAGACAGTGGAGTCAGGCCATGGTGTATGGCGGCAATTTTAAATTGGGCTTGACTCCCACATACCTAACTTTTGGCAGTTTAATTTCTTGGTAAACTTGGTCCCAAGTTGTTGGATCCGACCAAAGGCACAGCAGCAATTTGGGGATATTATGAAGCCTGAAATCAATCAGGCTGCTGATGCACTCTTCCTGTAGGCACAGGTTGACCTTTTGGCGGCATCATACCCCCCTGGATTGTTAGTAATCAGACATATATTATTTTATAATATAGTCCTCTTTATGAAAAGATAATACTGAGAAGAAAATTGTGGAAATGCCATTGTATTCTAATTAGGTCGACTGTGCAGAAGAAACCAGATCAGGAAAAAGACACATGGATGATCATAGTCATGAAGGAAACGTTGAAATGCATTTGGAATCCATGCCATAGCTTTCCCATCCATTTTGAAGAGCCACCTAAGACGAGTCATTATGGCAGATATTGATTTCTCTCAACTGGTACTGCCCCTTATCCAGGAGAAAATGAGATAGGACATTTCTAGAATTGGTTTTACATTCATTCTTGATCATTCACTTGTTCATTCACTTTGTCATTCCATTAGGATAGACACTCATATATGGCAGACATAGCACTCAGTAAATGGATGAACCATGTTTCCCTCTTTGAATTTAAAATCTGTTTATTCAGAAAAGTAACAAAAAAACTGGGGTTGAATAGAAAGCACAGTGGGTAGGATGCTTACCGTGCATGTGGATTACCCAAGATTGATCCCTCATGGCCCACCATGCACCACCAAGAGCATTCCTGTGTGTGCCCATCCCAGGCCTCCTCTCCTTGCTCCAGTAAACAAAACCGAGCTGGAAACTTTTAACTAGCCTAAATCTTAGGCTAGGAGATGCCAAGAAGTCTTATCAGACTTGAGCAGGAAGTGAGCAAATGTTCCTGCAAGAAGCTGTTGAGTTGCGGACAACTCAGGTATAAGAGGAGTTAGTCTATTTCGACTCAGTCCATGCTTTGTCAGAGGAAACAGGTTTTGCAGGCTCTGAGAAGGATTAACTAGAATATAGTGAGAGACTATTTTGTAGTTAGAGGAGAGAGGTCCACAGCTGTGCAGACAGAAAGCCAAGAAAGAGCCACCTCCACTCCAAGTTCTAGTGGGGTCCTCGTCAGGCTAAGACTCCCCAATAGGGCCTCAGCACACGTGAGTTCAGGGTGCATAATTTAAAATGCAGGGCTCCAGGCTCCTGATGCAGATAATCTGCTAAGGGTCTCTTGGGCCCCTGGGGACAGGACACTCTGTGCTTGTGAACAGAGAGGAGGCAGTCCTGCAGTGCTCTGGACAGACTGCTGGCACACCAGTACACAGATGTCTGTGAGGACACAGAAGGGAGGGGAAGCTCTAGGTCTTCTCTCTAGAGCTGTACCCACCTCCCATGACCGTAGGTCCGACTGAGTAATAGACAAGCTTCAGCTCTTGTCCCTCTTCTTGCCGATACCAGTACATGTAGCTATGTAGCTATGTGCCAATTTTTGGGCACACATCTGTGTCATGTTCTGTCCTGTCTTCAGAAGCTAGAATGTGAGGATCTGAGAGACACCAGCAACCCCAGACCTGTGGAAAGAAGGAGCTTCTGATACTGCAGAGGGCTGAGCATGGAACGGGGACATTGTCATCACAAAAGGAACTTGTCTAGGACTCACTTGCCTGCGGCAGCCAGAGAGTCACACAGGACAGGAGGGGGACTCATGGCAGGGGCAGGGAGAGGAGGGTCTGCAGTGTATGTGGTGCTGAGTGAGGACGGGCTCGCCAGAGGCTCATTCTGAGCTATTATCTTCCCTCCTGAGCCCTAAAGCCCTGTCACAAGGTCACACGCCATTTCTCAGAAAGTGAAAAAGAAGACGACGACCTTCTTAGATTGATGATTGTTTCCTTCTAAATGTCTTGGGTTTTGTTTTGTTTTGTGAGCACAGTGGGCAGTGCTCAGGCTTATTTTTTTTGTATTACAAAAAATATATTTTTTATTTTTTATTTATTTTTTATTTTTTAATTTTTATTAGTGAAACAACATGAGGTGCACTTATAGACTTACAAATTTTTGTCCGTGGGCCTCTTTTGCAAACCACAACACCCAAAAGGAGAGAGAAAACAAAAGGGAATGCCCTGCCACAGAGTCAGGGTGGAATGGGGGTGGGATGGGGCGGTGGGAGGGATACTGGGACTCATGGTGGTGGAAAATGGGCACTGGTGGAGGGATGGGTAATTGATCATTGTATAACTGAAACTCAGGCTTATTTTTTCACTCTGAGCTCAGGGATTACACCTGGTGATGCTTGGGCCTCAAATGTAGTACCAGGGAGGAAACCAGTGTCAATGGCATACAAGACAAGTGTCTTAAATACTGTAAATTACTGACGCCTAGAAGACATGTCTTAGCAGCCTTCTTTTCAAGTATTTGTGACTTTATCTCTTGCATATGTGACAGCTTTCCTGCTTCAATAGATTTATTCACGTGAATATGTCTTTAGTTCTTGAATTAGTGAGAAGTCTCTTAGATTCCTAATGACGTTTATGATTCTTGTACTCCATTACTCCAGGATACTTCACTGATTTCCTTCATTGATCTTGAAACTGTTACTCCATCTACAGTGGACTTCCCAGTCTTTGTCTGTTGAAACTCTGGCAATCACCATTTGAAGACACCCTTATTCCTTGTATTTGATTAAGTCCCTGAATAGAGCCCCATCACTGGGGGCAGGTGAGAAGGATCTGCTGACCCAGAGGATAGATGTGGTAGGACATAGGCACAGCTACAGATTCTGTGAAAAATTCTGATTTTCCATTTCACAGGGATCTTCTCTTTGTGAAAAAAATGACAGTTACCATGACATTTAAGTGGAAGGAACCTTAGAAACACAAAATCTGTTTGTACAAGGACCAGGCTGGAAACACACTGTAGTTGGTTCTACAATGTATTTTGGGTTCATCAAATCCATGAAGATGTTTGTAACAATGTGATACTTGAATGCTACTTCAATTCACTTAAAAACAGGTGCAACAGTACATATCCTGCGTGACTCTGACATATTGACTCATCCCCATACACAAAGTGACTGTCCTCATACAGGTGGGACTGGATGGTGGCTCCCCCTTCACTACCACTTCCTGGGTTGGCCAGGGGTGTTTTTGTGCAGGAGTCAGCTGAGCAGGCAGGGCTGTGAGGCTGCTGGCACAGAAGTACAGGGCAGAGTCGGCCACTTCCACGGAGCTCACGCTCAGCTCAGAGCTGGAGTCCTCACTGAACTGTTGGACTGAGAAGTGGTCAGGGAGGCTGCCTTTTTGATACTCTTTCCCAAGGGCATATGAAACAAAGAAGTCAAGACTCTTTCCCAGGGTTTGTTGATACCAGTAAACATACTGGTGCCCAGATTCATAGTTGCATCTCAGGGTCACTGGCTGACTCCTTGCTTTGACCAGGTGTCTGGGGCTTTGAGTGACTTCAGCATCCACAGAGCCTGTTGGGGAGCAGAGAGAAAGGGCTGAGGCAGACACAGGGATGCCTCCTGCTGCAGCCCTCAAGGTGGGCAGGGGGTTCCCAGGCCTGGCTAAGTACTACCCAGGCCCCCCCATGCCCAGGACTCACCTGCTCCCAGGAGCCCAAGGGCCACCCAGCAGAGGAGCCTGGAGCCCATGGCAGTGTCAGGGCCCAGGCAGCCCCTAGGGCAGGGCAGGCTCCAAGCTTTGTCCTCCTGGTGCTGTTAGGAGCCTCTGCTGTGATGTCACTGTGTGATGTCACTGTGTGATGTGCCCAGCCTGCAGACTTCCTCTACCTTAGACATGACAGTAAGGACCACTAGGTGCCATTATCTGCTCTAACCAGCCTCTAAACCATGCAGACACAGGGGCCCAACCGGTTCCCACATAACTGTATGCTCTTTTTTTTCTCTGCTTCTCCCTTGCACAGCCTTCCTTACTCAAGCTGCTCATCCAGCTCTTTCTCTTTCCAGTTTCTGTCCAGCTCAGAGAGATCGTCTGCTTCCTGCAGACTGAGATATAGACACAGCCCAAGGGGGCAGGAAGCCTTTGTGTTAGCTCCTCTAGCTTCAGGAGACAAGCATTGCCTCAAACCACACCTACCAGTGAGAAGATGTGAAGGACTTACTCTCCCATGACCCAAACACCTCCCAGGCTGACTGGAAGTAAGTGGGTGCACAGCACCTCCTAGTGACCCACAGCCCCACAGACTCATGGATAAGCCCTCAAACATAAGCTTCTTAAGCAGCCTTGCTCTATTTCATTAGTAAAAAATTGTGTGAACAGAAAACTGTTTGATGACTAAAATGTTAATCATTCTTCATGTTATTTATCTTTGTGGCAATTACATTATGCACAAATCAAGCACCATTTTATGCAATTTTGTTATTGTTTTTGTTTGTTTTCTCAGTTCTTAGTTGAGAAAACACATCTGAAATGAGCCAAATAGCCTCTTTCTGGTGGACACTGGCCAGCTTCATGTGATGGCGGTGAAGAGAATAACATTCTGGCCATCAGTAGATATCCTTCGCTTTGAGTTGTGTGTTCCTTAATATCAGGGACAGAGCAGGGATATCATGTAAGATTTATAATATTTCCAGTCCCACTCTGGCTCTAGATAAAAGAAAAGTAGGATGTGACTATGATGCATGGTGAAGGGAACATAGGTTTGGAGGAAAACAATGTGATTGAGACCTTGCTTCTCTAGTCCAGTATTTGACTCTGGTAATATTACTCTCTGTCAAGCATGTTAACAGGTAAAAGAAATTTCCTACATGATTATGGTTCCTGTATGATAACATAGAGAGACTTTCCTCAGTATAGGCTGAGAGTGACTGGCTGGCAGCTCTTTGTCTCACTGCCACTTCCTGGGCTGGCCACGGGTGTTTTTGTGCAGGAGGCAGCTGAGCAGGCAGGGCTGTGAGGCTGCTGGCACAGAGGTACAGGGCAGAGTCGGCCACTTCCACGGAGCTCACGCTCAGCTCAGAGCTGGAGTCCTTACTGAACTGTTGGACTTTGAAGTGATCAGGGAGGCTGCCTTTTTCATATTGTTCCCCACTGGTATATGAAACAAGGAAGTCAAGACTCTTTCCCAGGGCCTGTTGGTACCAGTACACATACAAGTGCCCAGATTCATAGTTGCATCTCAGGGTCACTGGCTGACTCCTTGCTTTGACCAGGTGTCTGGGGCTTTGAGTGACCTCAGCATCCGCAGGGCCTGTTGGGGAACAGAGAGAAAGGGCTGAGGTAGACACAGGGATGCCTCCTGCTGCAGCCCTCATGGTGGGCAGGGGGTTCCCAGGCACAGCCCAGGCCCACCCAGGCACAGCCCAAGTCCACCCTGTGCCCAGGACTCACCTGCTCTCAGGAGACCAAGGACCACCCAGCAGAGGAGCCTGGAGCCCATGGCAGCCTCAGGACACAGACAGCCCCTAGGGCAGGGCAGGCTCCAAGCTCTGTCCTCCTGGTGCTGGTTGGAGCCTCTGCTGTGATGTCACCGTGTGATGAGCCTCTCTGGACACTTTTCCCTGGTCTAAAGTACCCTACAATCTAAAACCCTGGTTGGCTACTCTGTTCTGTCTCTCCCCTGATGTACTCTACATGCAAATACCTCAACAAATGGGTGGATAGGAGTCAAGCATGGTCCACAAGTGACCTTAAGCAGTTGGTTTCCCCCTGCTTGTAGTACTCATCCCAAATTCCTCAGCCTTGGCTGAGCCAGATCCTTTCTCTTCTACTTCCCTGGCAGTTTGTCATGCAGATGCAGAAGGAATCTCCAGATGCACCCACTGTACTCTTACTAGAAAAATGTGTTAAGTCCTGTATACACCAGAATCTATTCAGTGAAATCTAACCAACTGCCCACAAAGGGCACTGAAACCTCTTCCTCTCTGGCTTCATTTTCTCTCTGATTCCACACGGTTCCTTGCTGTATCTGGGTCCACAGTGCCTCCATGTGGCTGTTAATTTCCTCTTATTATCTATGTCATTCAAGGACAGGATTTCCCTCCAACACACCCATCTGAAACCCATTAGCAATCTCCCAGGCACCTACTTCTGAATTTCCACCTTGGTTAATATAGGGTTATTCTTCAACTCCCCTCTTAGGGGGTGAAGGCATAAGATAGCATATGAGAAAACATCCACCAGGTAGGCAATGATGCTGACACCATGGCAGTTTCTATGCTGCAATGGATGAGACAAGGCAGAACTAATCAGCCTCAGGCTGCAGAAAACACCCTCTGATCAACTCCTCTTGTTCAACCTCATCTAAGTATCCCCTAGCTTGGCATTTACATTAGTTAGTATTAAAGTTCAGAGGGTGTTTTGTACATGAATTCCGCATGTGTTTAGCATGTTCATTAATTAATGTATAAAAATATTGAAATAACCAACCCTGTTATCTATCACTAGGTCTATCTGGAGGTCCTGAACTTTCTTCATTACATATAAGTTTGTTTTTATTACCAAAAAATAAACAAAATAGCCTATCAGAATATTCTATAGTCTTCATTTTATTTGTTTACTGTGGATGTTGTTATCAATTCTACTCTCCAATACCACCATACAAGGGTATGCTAACAAATGCTCCTGTGCTTGTTTGAAGGACAAATCTTTTATCAAGACCAACTCGAGATTCTCAAGCATAGGAAACCCTCCCTGCCATGTGTTCTGAACACTGCAATGGTCATTGAACCAAAGTATAAAAAATACTTGATATGAACTATTTGTGCTATTTGTGTACAAAAGTTTTCCTTATCAGTTAATTTTAGACCACTAAAAACAGAAACATGCAGTTTGCTTATTTATTAAAGTTTAAAGCATTTATTTAAAAATATAGTAGAGGTAAGCCTCCTGTTAGAGTTGATGTGTGTATTTAAGGACAAGAGAAAGAAGCAGACTGCCCCAGAAGTATTGGGTAGTGGAACCCTAAGGAGGGCTACCCTTTGTTTGCCCTTCATTTCTGAATTTTTCAGACTAAACAATAAACTTAGTTTTGAAATCAGTGTGTGGCACTTTGCCACAATAAAGTTAGCAGGGTTGGCTGCAGAGGAGACAAACCTCTGAGAAGTGTCCAACTTCAGGGGCCCTTGAGCAGATGTGAGTTTACACACTGGTCATTTTTGAAACACTAAATCTTTTCCACACCTTGGCATCCTGTTTACATGCATTGATCCATTATTTTTGTTAAAGGGTACATTAAGAATAACTAGCAGATACGTTAAGAGCAAGAACTGGGATATTTCACATAGTCAGTTAATTTGCAGGCTTCTGAAAATATACAAGCAAGATGATTTTTTTTATTCCAGTCTTACTTTATTCTATCTTTCCAGGGCACAACTTTTCTGCCGTGTTATCTAAAAAATATAACCGATTTTACCCATGGGATGATGTCAATCTTGTTTTTATTTTTTTTTGGTTAGGGGGATAATATCCCACACATGTATCATTGTCGGTGATTATAAATTTTATGAAGATGGCAAAGGTATGCTTGTCATGAACTAAAAGTGCCAGCCTGGACCTCTCCAAGGATGACACAGCTTCATGCTGCTGAAGTTAAGTCCTCAGAGGTCAATGGATGCAGAAAGGAGGCTGGAATCTGCATATTTTTCTCTATGTTAAGTGTCCTGGTACCTGAGAGACCCTGGCATAATGGTTCAACCAGAATCTACAAAGTTAGGGATGGAAAACTGATTGCAATTAGTCATGGGAAGGATGGAACTTGAAAACTGTCAGTGACTGCCTGCAGTTTGCAATGTTAAACATTCTTTTTGTCTTTCCTAACTCAGGACTAGCATTTCTCAGTCGGAACAGAAAATCTGTAGCACAGTCTTGTCAACATTCCAGAAATTGTGCATGGCTTTTCCATCTCTGAGGTTGCAACTGATTTTAAGATTGACAACCTACAAGTCTATGAGAACTGTTCTCATACTGGGTAGACCGAACTGATACGCATTTGCCTTTGCATGCAGCTGATCAGGATGGATGTATCAGAGATTAGATTATATCCTGTCTCCATGGATTCCACCATCTTACAAATCAGCCAGGTGGAACTAAGGCCCTTAGGATCCCTGAAATTGATAAACTGATTTAGGTAATGCCTATCTTGCACTCCAAATGGCAGGATCAGTTATCTGGAAGCAGTACCTAGGTGACAACTGCAGAAACTCACACCTGCAGGGTTGGAGTGACAGGATAGCTGGTAGGGAGCTTGCATAGCCTGTAGCGTGTAGGATCAATTAATTTGATCCCGAGCCCCTCATACGACCCCCAAACCATGCCAAAAAAGATCCGTGAGCACAGTGCCAGGAGTCAGACTTGAGCATGCTGGGTGTGAGCCCCGCCAAACAAACAAAAACAAAAACAAAGCCACACATGCCTCTGTTCTTGCTGCCTTTGCCCTATAAAACCACCAGCCACGTCTCAGACATGTTCTAAGTTGTGTTTGGGGAAGGAATGCACAAAAAAATAATCACTATTCAGGCGAGGACTCAGGTGCCCTATCGTGTCTTTCTTGAGACCCATCTCCAGATTTTCCTCAAGAATCCTGTCTGGTTCTCTCTATAAACCTCTTCTGAGTTTTTGAGAAATAGAAGTTTCTAGCCCCTCCTTCAGCAATATGTTTTAACGAACCATATATGATAAGGGAAATAAGCACTGATGCTCTCTTGAATTCACTCTTGATTAAAATAAAAGCATTTGCCTTTAAAACGCTGTTATTACAGTTTTTGGCTTCCTGGTTATTGACCATAATTTATGAGTCAGTGCAACTATATCCTCAACTATATCATGTTGGTTGCTACAAATGAGAGGCCAGAACTATGTCTCTGAGAGCACTTCACTATAGATCCTCAGTCTCTCCCTTGGCTGTTGATGGTTTTCTTCCTGGAAGTTCCTATAATCTATAAGGTGTTAGATATTTTTGGAAGAAGATATTGATAGGAATTAGACAGATGGTATTTTGTACTACAGCTCACTTCAATAAAACAGATTATTGTGGAGAAAATTCAGGAAATGTCACTGTATTCTTAGTAGGTTGACTGTGCAGAAGAAGTCATATGAATAGAGAGACACCTGGATGGATGTACCTCCCAGTCACAAAGGACACCGTGGGAAGCAACTGGAACCTGTCTTAGAGATTTCCTATTTGTTGCCAAGAGCAACGTAGTCCAGTTATTATGGCAGGGAACTGATTTCTCTCAAGTGGTACTGGTTTGTGTCAAGAAGAACCTGAGATCAGGAAATTTCTAGAACTGCCTTGCTCATTTATTCACTTAATCACTTAATCACTTAACTTCCCGTTAGTCGTCGATTTGCTTGAGCGGGCGCCAGTAACGTCTCCATTTGTCCCTGTCGCATGCTAGTGTAGCCCAATGGCATCTCTTCGCTCCGGGAACATGGAGGGCCTCAAACCGATCGTTCATGATCTTGACGAAGAAGTCTGACTATCTGGTAGGTGGGCGGCCACGCGGTCTCTTGACATCCCGTGGAATCCAATCAGTAACAGCTCTAGTCCAACGGTCGTCTTTAAATCTCATTACGTGACCAGCCCATCTGATTTTCGACACCTTGGCAAATGAGACAGCGTCCCTGATCCTTGATCGTCGACGGATGTCAGAACTCCGGATTCTTTCTCTCATTTGAGTGAAACATGATATTCCAAGCATAGCTCTTTCTATTCTTCTTTGGGAGACCTGAATGGCGTTCTCATCTTGTTTGCGTAGGGCCCAGGTCTCTGAGGCATATGTTAATGCAGGAAGAACAGTGGAATCAAAGAGATGTGCCCGGAGCCGGAGGTTCTTCGTCCTCTTAGCTATTTCTTCGACGTTCTTGAAGGCGTTCCAAGCCACTCTCTTCCTCCTGCGCAGCTCGGGTGCCAGGTCATTTGTCATGTTGACCTCTCGACCTAGGTACACATAGCTGTTGCATTCGGAGATGGTCGTTCCGTTGAGAGTGAATGGGGTGTCAGGAACAAGGCTGTTTCTCATAAACATTGTCTTCGTAAGATTCAGCTGTAGTCCTACCTTTCCACACTCACGGTCAAAGTCGGCCAGCATTTGTGCCGCTTGGCTGATGTTTGGTGTTATTAAAACAATGTCATCAGCAAAGCGGAGGTGGTGTAGTTGCCGACCATCTATCTTCACTCCCATTCCTTCCCATTCCAGTCGTCGCATGATGTTCTCGAGGGTGGCACTGAAGAGTTTCGGTGAAATGGTATCACCCTGCCGCACCCCTCTCTTGACATCAACAATCACTTCTTTGTAGAATGGTGAGATCCTGGTAGTGAATCCGCAATACAGCTCACGGAGGATCCTGATGTATTGGGCTTGAATGCCCTGATTGGCTAGGGCTTCAATGACCGCTTCCGTCTCAACAGAATCAAAGGCCTTCTTTAAATCAATGAAC